CTTTAGAATCCACCTTCATTATTAACCGCCACACCCACGGTGTACAAGCGTACCTTGTAAGACTCTGCGTCGCGGTGCACGGGGCATCCTCTTAGCCTCCATCATGTATTGTCTGTCCATTTTAACTACCGATCCATCCGCTTTTATTTCCTGGTCGCTGGGTTTTTCACTCCGAGTTTTCCAAGGTTCTCTTTTGGCTATATTTTCCCTCCTCATAGGGATCGTTCCCAAATACCGTCTCCTCACCGGAGCCAATCACTTTTCTTTTGTCCCTCGGTTCTGTTCCAAGGTACCGAAGATTAATAATGGTACGGCATATAACTAAACATTAGAATAGGAACTAGGTAAACAAGGGGATACCTTGTCACTGATTATATTTGAGATACAAAGAAAATGAATTTCTTGACCGATAGATGTGTGTGCGTATGTTGATCCTTTGTTTCATGGTCGTCCTATTATGTTAGGATTGTGGTGATCACCTCCAGGACTAGTGGCGATCGTATGTTGGTGGCTCTAGCTCGTAGTGCTGGCCCCGGTTATTACCTATCACACTACTTACCACTTGTGGTCAGGGGGGCTGTACGGGCAAGGATGATGGACGAAGCCGCGGAGAATATCGAGATGGAGGCGCGGGGAAGAGCAAGAAAAGTAATAAGCAAGGTCATCGAAGACGAGACGAATTCAAGAAACCAGGTATCTAGATCTAGACTCGAAAGCTTGAAAGGCTCAACCTACAGAGTACATACATACAATGTACATCAACTTTAGGTAAGATGGGCCTTGAAGTTGATCAATCATTCTTTCTTACCTAACAGCAGTGGATGGCGTCGGTGCATATTGGTATTGTACGCTGGATGTATAATATACAATACCAACAGCCAGGTACACACATGAGTGTTTCCTGGAACCCACGTGTATAGGAGATCTTCCTCGTCAACTTCCACCACCTTTGGTTCCTAATGAAGTCTATTGAGGTCTCTGGTCACCTCGGATGAATCTCACTGGTCCTCATTCGAATTGTGATGGGGAGGTTCCAAACAAAAGCTTCATCGGCTAAATCTTACGAACCACTCTAGTGAAAAAGTGGCTCCCTCAGGTAGATAGGCATCACCGTCAAACGGTGGGGGAAGGGAAGTCTTGTCCCTAGGTTGACCGGGAGTATTAGAAATACCCAGTATTGTCCGTACAGCGCTAAGGTCCCCCGGAACATCGACGGCGCCTTTAAGTCCAGAACTTAACGGTCGCGTGCGGGTACCATTAAGCAACTTATAGGCCAATGATGGAGGTAATAGCTTGAGAAGGTTCCAGCAGGACCATTCGTCTTTGAGATACCTCATGCGAGGTTGTAAAATATCCCGTCGAGGTTTAAAGGGCTGACGAGATGCCCTTGTTGCGAGGCCGTTTCCTTCGGATTCAGAAGCCCATTAGTGCCTGGTTGGGCGAAAGGTGGTCAACTCACAATCGCCTTAGTCAGTCTGGTTATTAATTTCATTGCTTGTTAGTAACTTTTGCCAGCGCTGACCTGGCACTCTTAAAGTACTATGCACCGGTAATCATAACGAGGTGACATTAAGTAAAAGACTAACTAGCATATGCAGCGGTAGTGTCTACTCAATATCCACAATATAGAGACTGGACCTAAATTTCTGACATGAGAATGGAATATGTAGTTACGTTCGGTCTCGAGAAATGTTTTGTTTTTTGTGCTCAGCAACTGCCAGGCCACCGAGATTTGCTCATTTCCGATGCACCGCCATTTGAGGTCCATCATGGATAGATCTAAAGCTTTCTTTGATTAACATTCGGCATAATCCCTAGTCTTGGCCTTGAAATGACAGCGAATTGCGGCGGCAACCAGTGATATACAATTCCTATTCAGGTTAAGTGTCTCATGACCGTTTACTGGGGGTTGCAGTGCGTTGTGTGCCCAAAATCATCATTTTACTGTAAGTTGCATGTTAGGGATGCCCGGCCAACAGACCAGTCTGGATCTAGTATATATTGCATATCCGGAGCCAGACAATACAACGAAATAGCAGGAAAAAATTACCTATAATAGCTACTATGCATTTAGTATGTACATCGTACTTCAGACCACGGTACACAGATATGCAGCAGGGATGGGGTATATCAATACATATTGACAAAGTCAACCCCCGGCATGAAGTCGATGTACATTTCACTGTTACACGCAAAATAGGCCTCCTAAAACTATATCGTAGTTGAGATTAATGGCCTACGTAGTCCACCATAGACCACGACAGCAACGCCCTTTCAGACAGGATATTCTAAACGCCACGCACGACCGTGTCTTTTTACACCCCACCCACTTCGTACGTCTATAGAAAGGGCAGACTATATGTCGTTGATTACCATCCATGATCATCAGCAGCGCACCACCTGATAGGTAACTTTCGCCGCACAATGATTGCATTTCTTATGGTGCCGGGGTTGCGGTAGTGAACAAATGACCCTACATTTGGTAAATTATGTGGTCGATACATGGCTTGAATATCATTCCTTTCCAACCACCCCTTGCATTTCATAGATGGTCTAGAACTACAGCAGATGCAAATTAAGAGCCCTCCTCCATATCCCCAGGCATGCGTGATATATCGTTTCGTGAACCGTGAGAGGATTGGCAATTTTGCAATGCTTGTGACTTTGATGCCTCATTCCTAGATTCCGCTTGCTGTCACTCACCTGGTTGATCGATCATCTGTCTAGGATCATGAGGGCGGGTGAAATCGCAGGTGAGAGGAATGTATGATATATATTTGTGCGGGCGGTACACATCTGAATCGTAGGGATCATTATAGTACAGGGGGTAATTGGATGTTAGGGGTATAGAAGTATAGATCCATTTTGGTCGTATCAAAAATAGGTACTAAATTACACGTATCGTGCATACAAGAGAGAGGGACTTGAGCCTTTATAGAAAGTCTACAGTTATCCTGATAAAGATCCTTGACCGATAGACGGCGGGGTAAAAGTAAAAGCCAAGTCACGGGATAGCGTCTGTGGTCCGCGTCACTCACCGTAACCACACCAGAGCCGCCGAAAGAGTCACAATTCGGAAAGTGGGCAGTATCTGTTGCATAATTCGAGTCTTCGATTTGCTCTTCCAGCACCTTTCCCTCTACGCCCCCCGCGGATTTCCCTGTGGCCCACGACTGCAGCCATGGCGTCCGATCTGACGCAACCCATTCTGGACGCCCTGTCCGCGTCCGACGCACCAATCCTTTCCAGCGAAGCTTCCCCTCCCACCCCTCATTGATTTTCAAGAGTTCGCTTGATCGTCTTGCCTCGCGACAGATGGTCGAATATGAAACAATTGAGCGTGAAGTCGCTGCACTGACCAAGGAAGGTGAGGAAATCGCCGCCAATGGCAGTCATGAAGCCAAAGTTTTCCAAGCCGTTGTGGCAGCTTTGGAGGGGTTGAAGATCGGCGACTTGCCTGGTATTGTTGGAAAGGACAACGCCAAAATTGGTCAGGGAAATGCTTTCAAGAGGGGCTGGATTAAGAAGGACGGACAGCTGCTGCGGGCAAACACTGACTCTATTGTCGACGAGACTCGTGAGCAGTTGTTGACTGTCAAGAACACTCAGACTCTGGAGGACCAGAAGGCCCTCAATGATTTGAAACGTCGAAAGTTGGTCGCCTTCCAAAAGGACCTTAGCTTCAAGGTCTCCAAGGGGCCCAAGTTCGCCAAGGAGCTTGTCAAGGAGGAGACCGACCTCACAGCCGAGATGCTCACGAACGGTTCGTGGAAGACGGCTCAATTTAAGCCCTACAACTTCAAGGCTAAGGGTGCTCCCACCCCTTCCGGTGCTCTCCACCCTCTCAACAAGGTCCGTCAGGAGTTCCGTAATATCTTCTTCGAAATGGGCTTCGAGGAGATGCCTACCAACCGCTTCGTGGAGACCGGATTCTGGAACTTCGATGCTCTCTTCGTTCCCCAGCAACATCCCGCTCGTGACCTTCAAGATACTTTCTACATCTCAGACCCCGTGAAGGCAGACCCCCCTCGTGAGGATCCCGAGTTCGACCCTCACCGTCCGAAATCCATTCAGCCCGCCTCCGCAGCAGCTAAGGAGAAGCCGCTCGACTACAAGCAATACTGGGAGGACGTCCGCGAGGTCCACGAAAACGGCAAGTACGGTTCGATTGGCTATCGCTATCCCTGGAGCGCAGACGAGTCATTACGGTTGGTCCTCCGCACACACACGACGTCAGTTTCGACATATGTCCTTCACAAGCTCGCTGCCAACCCACGACCCGCAAGATATTTCAGTATCGACCGAGTGTTCCGTAACGAGGCTGTCGATGCCACTCACTTGGCCGAGTTCCATCAGATCGAGGGTGTTATTGCCGACTTCGGTCTTACCCTGGGTGGTTTGATCGGCTTCATGGAGGTCTTCTTTGCTAAGATGGGCATCCACCAACTCCGTTTCAAGCCCGCGTACAACCCTTACACCGAGCCTAGTATGGAGATCTTCGGTTACCACGAGGGCCTGGGCAAGTGGGTTGAGATCGGTAACAGCGGTATGTTCCGTCCGGAGATGTTGGAGCCTATGGGCCTGCCCAAGGATATGAGAGTCTACGGATGGGGTCTGAGTCTCGAGAGACCTACCATGATCAAGTAAGTGAACCGTGCACACTTGTGATAAATCAAACACTAATAAGTCCTGCAGATATGGCGTCAGCAACATTCGAGAACTCCTGGGTCATAAGGTCGACCTCAACTTCATTGAGACTAACCCAGCGGTTAGGTTGGAGAAGGATTAGACGATCTTATAAAGATGGATGGATATTATTAAAAACCCTAAGACTCAGATCATATAAATGATATCATGTGTTTAGAGCTATCAAAAAGAATTACGATGCGCATTGAATGAGACACGCTACAACGAACCCCTGAAGTAACCATGAATTAATGTATTTTTGATATCCAACAATTGAGATAGATAGTAAATCTACAAATACTGATAGTATGTCCCACCCGTATCTGTGCCCCAGCGCACGGCTCTGCAACAGTGGCTCTTCAGTAGGCGGACGTGATATTCGGCGGATGGATGTTACTTTCTACCTCCTCGCTCATGGGGGCCAGATAGATGTTTTGTACTTCCAATCTGTGAATGAGGAGGCCTTGATGTGCCGATTGAGCATCCCGAAGAACAAGAGAATAAGGAAACAGAGATTAGAGAGCGGACTACAGAGCAGACATCACCACAGCGAAACCCTGGCGGGGGCCACGAAACAACAGCGAAAAGAAAAAGAAATGAAAAGAAAAAAAATTGAAATTTAATGGACTGATTTTGATTGATTTGACTGGTCTGTATGAAATATCTTCATTCATTTATCTTAAATCATATCCGACATACCCATGGAACTGGTATATCAGCCTGCACAAGACGAAAGATCCCCATTAGCCTCTTGACACTCCCCAAAAAACACAAATGATATATGAGCCGGAGAATCTTACCATCGACCAAATCACACCGCACACCTTAACCCAATTAAATAGTCCATTTACCGGGAGGCGGTCCAGACGTTGCGGAGGTATCCGTCACGCTGGGTGAGGCGGTTCAGGGAGTCATCGCTCTCACCGCGGGCACGGATGAAACCGCAAAGAGCGTAGGTCTGGTTCTCGCCGGTGTAGCGGCCGTTCTCGTCAACCTTGCCAATAGAGATCTGGACGGAGGCGTGGTCGTTGGCCTTGATGATGCGGTTGGTGGCGCTGCACTTGCGGGGCACGTAGCTGGTTGAAGAAGAGTTATGTTAGTTTGCTCATCTAGAGATTATCCTTTTCTTTTTCTTGCTCCTTGTCCATGCATGTGGTTTGGTGATTGGGGGGGATTTCGGATAATCTTGTAGATTTGGAATGAATATGCTGCGCCTCCGATAAGGAAAAAAGGTGAGGGAGATAAGTCGCTTGGATTGCGACTTGGTGGTTTTTGTTTTTTTCCCTATCGGCGTCTTTGCTTCCATCGAATTCGCAGTCATATTCAAACTTCCTCTTGCTCATATCCGAAATTGTATCCCCAAACCAAAAACCAGGTCACAGATTGGGTGGATTTATGGGCAGTGCAAACGTACAGATCGACAATCTCTCCCTTTTCGTTCTCCATTTTGGCGGTTTGTTAGTCTGGTTGACGACGGTGGAAAATTGGAGGTGCGCTGGCGGGTTGAACGGTCGTGAAATTCCGCGACTCTTTTGGGCGTTTCCTTAGTCGACGGTTGTGTGGGTCATGTGATCTTTTGTCGAGGGTTGATCTTGCTTGTGTGGCTGTGGCTGCGTGGCTGGTGGGGCTTGATGGCTATAGGGTTACCTGTTTGGGGTTGGTACAGTACCGGTTCGACTGGTGTATTGTGTAATTTATCGCTATCTTCAAAGTATTTATGAAGGGGTGCATGATGTATGTATAGGGTATGTATGTACATAGATACCGTCGAGCTTTATCAATCAATCATAAACTGCTTCGCTCTTTATCCTCTGAGAAGACGTCTTTCTTCCACCGCACCTCCACTTGTCGGGCTGTCCCCTTTGCGAACTTCACCAGTACAACCCTGTCGGGCTCGCCCTGTCTATCCGTACCTTTCAGTTCTGGCCCAGGATGATCTAATGCAAGAACTGTTCGCCCATCGGACGACATTTTGAGCATCTTGGGGGATATGCACTTCTCTGTCCATGGGGGATTTCCCGTGTGGACAAAATCAACCAGCTCTGCCCGTCGTCTTCTTAACTCGTCCACAGAATTGCCTGTCCGAGGCGCTTGATCTAGGAACTGTGACACAAGATGCAATAAGACAATTTGTGGTGGGAACATAATGACATCCCCACTGCCTGCCAGCCGGAGCCATTCAGATGCAGGTAGGAACCTAGCTTCGGTGACTTCAATACCGCCGTCACTGGTAGGGATCTGGATTTCCTCCCGTTCTCCTTCGGCAGGAAGTTCGCTGAGGAGCGACTTGTCCGACTCAAAAGGCAAGGGCAAAAAGTACAAATACATCTGAGTAGAGTATCGCTTTGGCACATTTGTAGGAGTAATCCATCGTGTGAACGGAATCAATTGCTCTTTAGGACGAATGGTTAGCAGGGGCTAGGGCTATACCACAGTGGGTATTTGAGTCTGGTTGGCATTCGAACCTGTGTCTGGGACTGCGGCAGGATTCTGTTGCTTCAGCCACTCGGTGAAAGTCACTTCGTTGCGATGAATTTTCTTTCTGCCTTCTTCTCTTTTCGATTCCGGGACTACTAGCATCTTCCCGGATTTCTGATCCTTGGCGAGGAGGATACCACTTTCTTCGAAGAGCTCTCGGACGGCGGCATTCCTATACCAGATGGCATCATCATGCCTTTTCGGATCCCCGACTGGTGGGCACTTTCCATCCTGATCAGATAGGTTGCCCCCCGGAAAGACATGAGCTGATGCAAATGACGTAGACGTTTTGACGCGATGAAGCAAAAGTACTTCGTTTTTAGGTGAGATTAGTACTATACTAGGTTTCATTAGCTAACCCCTCGCAAAGACATAGTTACATATAGCGACATCCAGATGCATGGGCATCCTGACGGTTCTATACTGAAATACTCTGGTGATGATAGATAGAACGGCTAACCAACCTTGAACTCGGCCTTGCGATTGATGGTTGTGGCTTCGGCTTGGGACCATCCTTCTGCGATGCCATTGTTCCAGACGCGGAGATGCTTTGAGCTGTTGCAATGGATGAATTCTCTCTTACAGCATGCTCTTTGATATAATGAGGATTTGTAGGCCGGCGGTGTATAACCAGTAATGGGGTTCGAGCAAGGGTCAGCCGATAATGGAGACACTTGTGTATTAACCGGGGCATTGACACATGAGGAGTCATGGCTGAAGCAGCGAGGTGTACCGGAAGAGCTTCCTTTTTCAAAGAAGGGACGTGAATAATGATTGAGTATTACCGGAGTACCACCACATCGTACTATTAGTACCTGACTGGCCACTAGGGAGTAGTATGTGCTAAAGTTGAGGAGTTCCGGGGACTGGAACCTAGGCTCATGCATTGCCGTGCAGGTCAGGTTTACCCCGCCCGAAACGCGGTCGCTTCAGGCCTAGACGATCGCCAGTCTCCGAGAACCTTACGACTCTACTCTTACAACTTCCACCACTGGGGGTCAAATACTAGTACTACGCCTACAAAAGGGTTTCAAGAACAAGAACGTAGATGTTTCATCAACATGGAATACAACCGACTCCATTATGAATTGAATTGGTGAATGGAATGATCTTGACCAACAAGAAAAGCAATATCCACGCATCTAACTCCAGAACCTCATACCCAGACTTTTTTCCATTTATTGTGTTTCATGCAAGCCATGCGACATCATGCAAATATATCCCGAATATCAGGATAGCTCATAACGAGAATATTAAACGTGGGCGTTTGCGATTTAAGAGTAGAGCTTCTTATCGAAGCTGTGCAGACCGTGGACGTTACCCTCGGCCATGGCACTGGCGCTTCTCATTTCGAATCGGACGGTACCATTGTTAACACCCTCGTGGAGAGCATCGAGACTCTGCACACCGATATCCTGCAGAGAGTGCTGCACACCGGCAACAAGGTAAGGAACGAACTTGGTGACAGAGCCACGGTCAAGGACAGAGCCCGCAACACCCTGAGCAACAAGGACGCGGTCCTTCTCAGAGAAGTAACGGGCAGTACCGGCGTTGCTAGCCTTGCTGTCCTTAGAGCCGGCGCCGGCCTTCTTGTCCTCCATGGCAGCGATACTGCCCATACCACGGTAGGCCTTGACAAGCTGGCCCTCGTTGCTGACGAAGTACTCGCCGGGAGACTCAGTGGTACCGGCAAGGAGACCACCCATCATGACAGTCGAGGCGCCCATGGCAAGACCCTTGACAATGTGGCCAACATTCTGGACACCACCATCAGCGATAGTGGGAACACCGAAGCGAGCAGCGAAAGAAGAAACGCTGCGGACGGAGATAGCCTGAGGACGACCGACGGCCATGACTTCCTGGGTAATACAAGCACTGCCGCTGCCCATGCCAATTCTCAGGCCATCGGCACCGGCTGCAATCAGAGGTGCAGCTTGCTCCCGAGTCACAACATTACCAGCAATGACGTCAATATCGGGGTGAGTCTTCTTGATGTACTTGATCATCTCGATCTGGTACATACTGTTGCCCTGGCTGCTATCCAGAACAACAATGTCAAGGCCAGCATCAACAAGCAGTTGAAGTCTGCGCTTATCTTCCTCACGAGTACCGATAGCAGCAGCGCAGATCAGTTGCTTAGACTGAGGAAGTTTAGACGCGAGAGGGTAGTGAAGATTCTTCATCAAATCACTGCGAGACAGCAGAGAGACCAGGTTACCATCCTTGTCCACAATGGGCAGCTTTCCCTTCTTCGAGGAACGGAGGACTTCGTTGGCCTCGGCGAGGGTGGTACCAGCAGGGGCGGTGACAAGGTCAGTGGACATGATAGCAGTGACTGGGTCGTCGAGGTTGGGGTGGAACTGAATGTCCCGGGAGGTGACAATTCCAACAAGTTTAGACCGAAGGTTTCCGCTTTCTGTAGACACATCCAAGTTAGACAGTGTTATTTTCACACAAGTTTCATAACGACTCGGGAAAATATGAACATCAGATAAATCTGTTTCTCTACAACGCAACTCTCGTCGCTCCAGTGGAACGAAAGTTATAATGAAGATAGACGAAAATCATCACACGAAATATTCTAGGGCGGGCGAAGACGATAAAAAGAAAAATGGATGCTTACCGGTAACTGGGAAGCCACCGAATCCCCACGTGCTCTTGAGCTCCTTGGCTTCTCCGACAGTAGCCTTAGGAGAAAGAACAACGGGGTCCAAGATGAAGCCGTTCTCATAACGCTTCACCTTCCTCACCATCTCCGCCTGGTCTTCAGGCGAGCAGTTGTGGTGAATTATACCCAGGCCACCCAGAAGAGCCATGTGGATCGCCATGTTGTGTTCGGTGACGGTATCCATAGGAGAAGAGAGAAGAGGGGCCTTCAGGGAAACACGCTTGGTGACCGGGGTGTCCAAAGTGACATCTGACGCAGGGAAGCCTGTCATAGACATGAATAACTGCAAGTTATGGACGGTTCAGAAATCGTCCTTACCGATGTAACCAGGCAAGATAAGGAAGTCATTGTAAGTCAATGCTCCGTGCTTGTCCGAATCGAGCAAGGTATCAACATCAAGACCATCTCTGGAGGTATAATCCTTCTCCAGAACTTCGAGGGCCTTGGTGTGGTCCTGGATCTCAGCCTTCATGGCCCGGCCAAGTGCATCACCGTTAGAGATGGGCATTTTGAAAGAAATAAGACTCTACGGTTTAAGTAATAACACGTAGAGATCAAATAGAGATAAAAGATAATCAACAGATCGTGACAAACGTTCTGTTGATGGAGAAAGTCTTCCTTTCCCAAAGGAAAGAAAGAAGAAAAAAGAAGAAAAACTCGAGGAGCAAAAAATTGGCTTTTGTATCTTTGCCGCACAAGCTAACGATTCTTTCAGAAAATTCCGGAACAGGTTTAGTGGACCCACCTAACCCTTTTGCCATTAGACTGATTGGCTGATAAACGAAATCTCTTATAAGGCGGTGAGAGGGGGGGGGTGGCATTAGATCTGCTGAGGTAAGCTGTACTAATCACTGAATTTTCTTGCCATTGTCCCAGAGGGGCATAGATCGTGTGTCGCGCGTGCGAGTCACAGGTGTGAACTTTGAAGAGCCATCATTAGCTGCATCTAAATAGACAGATAAGAGTCGAGCTGGTTCTCTAGCACTAGTGAACGGTTCTTGTTTAGAAACTTTGCGACTTTTCCTTTCCTTTTCCTTTCCGGAACGGGACTAGCTCAGGGCCGCTTTTACTCAGTGATTACTCCCGGAATATACATGTGCTGAGCACTCCCCAGAGTATTGAATCAGTGCGCCGGAGCGATCTGGGATCAATTTCAGAGCCAACCTATAATTGCTTAGCTAAGCCAACTACTTCAGATAACGTAGCCGGTAAGCGACCCGCACCCCAACCGCCATATGCAAAAATGAAATAGTCAAAAAATCATTAATTTTGATTTCTATATAAAACTGAATAGTCCTATTGATTCGGGTAGTGTATAATTTTATAGCCCTGCATATCATAGCCAGAATATTTAGATAGGGTATACCTGGGAGCCGATTCAGGAGACAGAATTCTATCTGTCTGTGTAGCTTTTTCTTAGTATCTAAACTCTTCACTGCCATACAACCAGACACCATCTTTATTGCACCATTTTTGCAACTGGACGCACCTTCAATATTTCACACTCCTGACGAGCACGAATGGAATCTCCTCTACTGAACTCTTGTTTTGGGATTGGTCTTCCCTTCTGTCTATAAGATTTACCTGTCCTATCTCCCGTGAGTTTGGCCGATTCCAAAGATTAACAGGTTTTCGATGCTATCTATACACTCGGAACCCGCTCCCAGGAACTCTAAGAAGAGGTTAAGAAAGTGTATTGCCTCGCTGCTGGCCCTGTGGACTTTGTAATTCTTTTAGAATAACCTGCGCCTAACCATGATTATACTGATAACTTTAAGAAATTCGTTCGATCCTACCAGACCTTACAAGCCGTAGACGAGCTAGTCAAGTTTCCTACAATGGAGCGCGGAGTATTCATACTACTTCTATACTTGATACATTCTTACTTAAGCCCGTATCTACACAAGCTCTTCCAACTGACTCACAGATTTTGAAAATCAAACAACCACAAGTCACCATATGCTGTTGGAGTGGCGAATACCAGAACAGAAATCTCTCCCAATTCCAATCAAGGAATATTAGTTTTTTGCGATGCGTCCCATTGTACAGCTGAATGGGAAAGATCACAGTTTATCACTCTTTCTACCCTACAACAGCTATTTGTTACAGCTAGTGCCAGCCTACTTTATATATTCTCCTCGCTTCTCACTTCGCTGCCGTCTTTTTGAAGCTACGGCACCCTCAGGAACCTCGAGAATAGGCCCTTAATATATTAAAGGAGGCCGCCAATCCCCCCACATGGAACAAGAATCTATCGTTTAAAGCTGCCGAATACTTTCTTCGCCGTGCGTTGCTGATAATTTTTGGCTTTGAGAAAACCAGTTCTATCCGCATTTGAACTAGAACAACAGTTTCCCGAGTCTGGAGAGTTAATATCTTCACTCTTGTTAGTTATCTGTTGACCATATTCTACTAAAACGGGGCACTTCTGGTAGTAAGGGCCACGTTACTGTGGTAGAAATACTTTTCCAAAACTCTAGAATTCCAGAAATAGCTTTCGCAGCTTCTTGATCTCTGGAATTAACACAGCATCTTCTATCCTAGCTCATCCAACTTTAGTACAACAGAGCTTAAGAAAACTTTACTATTTTTTTTTTTTTAAAAAAATTGATGAGCCAGCAATACTGTCAGTCTGTTCAAACGGTTAGACTAAGAACACTTTGCAGGAAATACGTCTTTAGCTTAATAGTAGAGAACTGAGAGCCATCTATCGAAAACCACCGACTTATCTGCACATCTTTAAAAGAACCTAGAATTGCCAGAGCGCATAGCCTGCCCACTCTGGCCTGCTCTACAGAATAAAAATTAGGAATTCCTGCGGAAATATATCGAAAATCTCGAAGAAAACTGTTAATTTTATAAACGCAATACCTGCCTATCTAGACGGGATCCCCGGACAGTTCGATCGCGAGGAGCAGCCATCTTATTCAATCATGGATCTACCCTGCAGCAGATTTATCCTTGATCAAGTTATAGATCTACTAAAGGCCCGCGTTAATTAAAAACGCTCGTGTTCGGTACTCGTATATAAGGTCATCGCCCAGGGTGAGTTGATTGGATTATTCGAGAAATACACAGATATAGAGTCGGATAATACGCTGGAGCATACTCGTAAAGCTCCGTCTATATTACAACAGCACCTGAGCTCCCTGCAAAATGGGATTTATATCATCTATACCATGCGTGGAGAACATGAGAGCGCTGAAAGTCTATTGTTGCATAAGGTCTAAATTCTCAGTAATATAAATATAAGGAAGATGGAGGGCTTATGGCAGCCTACAAAGTAATGAGAGCGGTAGCGCAAGAAGTATCTGATCAAGACACAGACAGCTCGGATAGGGCACCGCAGAAATGAAAGAGGTCTACCTTTTCCTGGATAGCTTTCGCACCGGGTATACAGCGATGATTTGAAGTGACGCAAAAGAAACGCGTAACCAACTCACTAATATGGTCAAATCCAACTAAAAGGCTCGAACTTGTGGCCGCTTTTCTTTTTGATGCATTGGAAATTTGCTACGACCCAGAGACACTCAACAACAACGATGCCGAATTGATAGGAAGCGGGCGTCTATGCCATTTCCCTCGGCGTGAATACAAGAAACGTAGTATCGACACGCTGTGTCAGTCGTTGCATTATTATATTTCAATAGAGAATCTGGTAACAACAGCCCAGAAGAATAATCCAGTGGTTTAGCGTGCTTTTAACCAATGCTTCTAAAACGATCGACGAGTAAAAAAATTGCGCCATTTTTGCAACCTAGTGTATGAAAACGTTAGAATGATAAGTATCTGACAATACTAGACGGTAAGGGAAAGAAATAATGTTGCAATCTAGGAAAGTAAGTTGGAATTGAATAAAAATCTTAGGTTTCCACAGATGATTCTTTCAATGTTACCCGCCATGGGGTTTTGACGGCCGATGTCGCAGACGCCGCGCTTTGTGATGCGCGCGACGTCGAAGACGGTCGTGTTGGCTTCGGTGATGGGGTAGTAGTAGGTTGTTGTGTTGAGGGTGCTGGGGTCGCAGGTTGCAGTGGCTGGGGTGATGAGGGCGAGAGAGGCAGCCAAGGTTGCGAGTGTGACAGACTTCTTAGTGATGATTGAGAAAGAACGAGTGGATGATCAAATGAGATGGGGTGGGATAGAGTAGGGTAGGATAGGATGGCGTGCTGTATGTGCGGTTTATACACGCTGAGGGAGACCTATGTATCTTAGATAGTATCATCGGCAGGGGGACCAGGGTTGTTCCTGTGCGTACGTACACTTAGTATATCTCCTACGCAATCGTATGCAGGGGTGCATGAGCCATGATGAGTGAGCCATAGTTAACCATCAGAGTATGTCAATGCAGTGATTACGAAGCTTGAAGATTAGAGGGATATCGAATTGTGGAACCGATTGATCAGGTTACCAATCCCCGGTCATGCATTCTCGCAAATAGTTACAGCTACATCATCCCACAAGATATTTCCGAGAACTAGATACATTGCTTCTCACCATAACCAGGAGGAAAAGGGGCCGGTGCAAAGTTGTGTATTTCACAGTCTGACTCGCAATCGGTTTCACATCTATTCGCATGACGGCGAAGGCTCAGTATACCCCGGGCATCCAGGTGGTCCAGCCAGGTACAGTACCAATCTAAAAACTCGGGGATCGAGTCAAACCGCGGCTTGCGCCCGTACAGGACTAGAGGAGTAAGGTAGCTCACCGGCTCGGCGTCGAGAAAGACCACCCGCCACCCCCAATCGTGGATATTTGGGGCATCAGGGATATTATCCTTGTTCTCATCTGCATCCACCCGATGACGGCAGTAGAGATAGGTACTATACCACTGAGGATATTCATCGACATAGCCGGTGCCAGTGATCACGCCGGCCTTTACTTCCAGATCGTCGACCTCAAGATTGGGGGCAATCAGGGATTTATTAACCAGATCCGAGAGCTCGTCATCCTCCAGATTCTCCCGCACGCGCGCGCACTCTTCCTGGACCAGCTCGTAGTACCGCTCGGGCTGTGTCTCGGCCAAGTCCGCCTCATGGACTCCCAAAACCTCAAGCCCGGCCTCAAACGGGGCGATTCCGGCGCGGCGGAAGTCTGGATCCACAACCGCGTGAGCGTATTTAAGAAACACCCCCAGCTCGTGACATTTCGGAATCGGCCCGGGCGCCTCCTCGCCAGTCTCGGCGGCCCACTCCTCTGCCTGCTGCTGGAAGACCTCCTGCAAGGTCTCCAAAAACAGCTCGCGCGCTTTGTCCGTCCGCAGTCGCGGTGGATGGATGCCGTCCATTGCAAAGGGAAATGCGTCCGACACTCCGGGGATATCTTCCAGACGCCGGGTCTGGCGCAGTCAATTTTCTTTCTGTCGTATTTCGGGATCGGCATCCTCGGACGCCTCGTCCCAGTCCAGCGCATCAAAATGTCGGCAGTACGAGGCCATCTTGCTCATTCGCTGTTTGTCGGTCAGCAGCCCCCGGGCTTCGATCTCATGGATGCGATCCTGGATGAAGGTCCAGTTTGCCGCGGCCATCCGGTCGCGGAATCGGTCCAGAGCCTGCCTCATGCTCTGTTCTGAGTCCACTGGAGGTGGCATTCTTGTAAAGAAACTTGTGGGAAAGCAAGTGGCGTGTAAAGTTGTTCTTTGTTTTCACTAGGAGCCTGCAGGCTTTTAGCAGAGGTGTTGCGAAGGAAAGTTCTCGGGGAGAAATAATCTATAAATGGAGGCGAGGCAAGCACGTGTTTGCACCCACTACTAGGTTTTTCTGTTTTGAATTTGTTGATTCTATTTTTCTAGTCATCGTTATATTTATTCTATTCTGAAGTTTTTTCTCTTCTCTTTCTCTTCTCTTTTTTTATTTTTATTTTTTATTTATTTATTTTTTCCCCCACGTTACTCAGTACCTTTCTTCTAAAATATAAAATCTACCTTGAGTCGTTGACCTCTGCCATAGCTCTTTGAAAGAGACCTTTCAAAGGATTAAGTATATGATTCAATGTTGCAACTGGCACAGTAGAGTATTTATCTGCCACCAATCCAAACCCTTCACCTCAAGCGCTTTCCCTAAGGAAAATGGTGAATATTCCTAACAAATAGTCAACACGAAAGGGATCCCAGTATATACAACAGAATGAGGCCCTTCCTGGTGGGAAGGTTATGAGACTAGGAGCTGTTTGCCAAGGTAGAACGTCACGCAACTATGATTCCCAGACCACACAAAAATCCCGCCATAGTACTCCACGTCCTCGATGGGGTGATCACAGTCTTGCAGGAACTCATCCATCCACGTCTCACAGGGTTGGGTCATCAAAAAGTCCGAGCGGGGGTCGCATCCGGCCTGGTCGGCCGCCCAGGCCGAGCTTGCGATGAGGTTGGTATTCGGGTGCGTCCAGATGTGTGGATCATCATCAACGTGCAAGGTGTTTCCGTTGCACAGCCCCAGACGCGCCACTTGGTACTCCTCCAAGGTGAAGCTCTGATGCTCGTGGTCGGTCGTGAGGAAACAGGCCGGTCTCGTGTCTGGGGGTATCGTGGGTAAGGAGGTCGCCGCCGTGGAAGTCGTGCTACTTGTGGTAGTGGCGGCAGTACTGCTGGTGGTCCCATATCTGGCAGGGAATGGGGCCGGCCCGTCTTGGATGTCACAGTCCGTGCAGGCGTCCAGCTCGGAGTCCAGGGGACATCCTAGGACCTCCGTATACACCCGGGCGTCTAGGAAGCTTGTCTCCGGGAGCTCCGCCGCGCGACGGAACAGATTAGGGGTGTGCAGCTCGGGAGTGCTTATGGAGGCATTCCGGGGAGTGTCATCGGCCATTTCCTTGCCTCCAGCATCCTCGTCTAGGAGAAGAAGATCGTGCTTTCGGCGATGGGGGAACAAAGTTCCTGGGCTCGGAGGTTCATCATAATGAGATGGCTGCCATCTGACTGGGGAACCACCGCCTTGGGCGTTACAATCGTGTAGGTTACTCCAGCCTTGACCAAGGAGAGCTCCCACGAGCCCAGGGGGAAATCACCCACATAGATCTTCTGCCCTGGTCCCGATGGAGTATTACGTAATGACTCCTTGTAGGAAGGGGGAAATTGGGGAGGTAGATTCGCCATCACAGGAACGTAAACTGGGGGCGTTTGTTGCAACCCGGCTGGGTCCCAACTCAGAGTATGAGCCCATTTGCGATCCGGATACGCTGGGTCATCGAACCATAGGTCCCAGGCCTGAACGTTCTGAAGTCCTGCCTTACTGACGGCACGAGCATCCCCGTCAGTCATCCGATTGACCAGAATGAAGCTCGGTCCGTATGCTTGGACGCATTTCTTATTGCAGCTCATCCACTCGCTGATGCAATAGTCGGGCGGAAGGGCTTGTCCTGAAGAGCTGGAGACCTCAACACCTGTAAATAGACGATTCTTTGAAGTACGACGGCGTTGCTTGTTTTGCTGCCACCCTCTTAGAAAACTTACATAGGGACCATGAAGTTCTAGGATTTTTGGGCATCAGTGCGGAGAATGTCATATCTCTTGCATCCGATAGCCACAGACCTTTGAAATCCGTCAAACTCTCACACAACTTTCTGACCTGGCTCCTGACGGTTAAGATGCCCGGATTCGGTCACGAAATCACCAAGAGCTTATATAAGGCCATAGTCGACAAGCAACTTTTCGCTACGGGTGTATCCTATTGAGCTTCGCCATTCCGTATGTTTTGGGCAGTGGTCCTTGATCTGCTGGCCTCCCTGTATCTAGTATAGCACCCTGCGCGCCAATGAGACTTCTGAAGATATGCTTCTAGTATGTATAATTTATACTACGCGTTGCATTTCCATTGCTTTAAGAGGCAAATGAAGCAAGGAGAAGTTGTATTTATTTTTGCAACGTAGCAAGCAGTAGCTTAAAATACCCTCTTAATACACAAGCCATGGCGTCGCTTGTGAGAGAGCATGATCCCATCCTTTCTCATTGATCCAAATGGCGATGCTCTCCACCTCATCCTTCCCTAACTTGAGATCATTGTACAGATGCTGTGGCTGGAATCAACAAACATTGTCTGCTAGGTATACTTGCAAGAAAGAACCAGAACTGGCAATCCTTGCGGTTTGGACTTACCGGGAACAAGCCCTCTTCCGGTCTCGGCCCGCATACGGTGCCCTCGGGATTTTCCCATCGGAGATTCTCAGCTACACGCTCGTACGGAATCCGGAGAACATAAACAAGGGGTTCATCTTTGAAAAATAACTTCAGCGTGTTCGGCACCTGAAATGCAGTGGAGAGGTGGATGAAACCTGACTGTTGGTCGAGTGCACTGACGGGGAGTTGCTCTGGGAGCGGTTCTCGGACGGGCGCTGTGGACGGCACAAGTTTATAGACATAAAAAGGCGTTTTGTCCGTCATTTCTCTGGTTAAGCGTTTGACTCGCAAGTTCAGAACGGCAGGTGAAACGTAGATGGATAGTAGTATGTTGTTTTACCTGTTGAAATCGAATACTGGGGACTGGCCGGCGATCTAAAATGATAAGATCGGGAGTTGGTGGAACCGCAGTGATTCAGTCAGTCTTACCTAAGTGGAGGGTGATTAACTAACTAACTCACCACTTCCCAAGGTTTGATTATAGCATTTATGGAGTAAACCCCTCCTGGGAGTCACCTGAGTGCTATATCAATCCCTGGATTAATTGGCGATTGAATTTGGAGGGAGATTGGTTAGGACAATCAGGTGCTCCTGGTAACATATAGAATAATTGCAAAGTGCTCCGCGCTCCGCAATGAAGTACCTTGGGCATATTCTATACCAAACCCCTGGAAAATCATCGATTTACCATGACTTGACCCAAAAGTGTATACTGTTGTAGCACAGTTTTACATCGATCTAGTATGTGTCGTCCAGACATTTGGAGCGCTAGATCCTATTTGGAGCACATTGTACATACATATAGATTGTGTTTTAATTGCAAGCTTGTGTCCTATCCTATAGAATCCCATCTTTACTCCGTACTCTGTACAGATTTAATTATAACAGAGCTCAGGTTGAGTTACGATCTGACATGTGACGAGTCCTGCCCACGTTCATTGTCCTTGCTGCATGGTGAAAAAAAATGCCGATGGTGGGTCAGTGATGGACTGGCAGGAAGCGTGGCTCGATGATAGACTCGTCACTCACAGGTGTACATAGCCTTGTACAGTTTAGAACTTGGCCTGTATTCAATTAAGCGTCCTTACTATGTGCATCACGCGAAACGTGTTATTTGAGTCAGTATTTGTACTAGTAACCAAACCATTCCTTCGATTTTTCTTTTCTTTTCTTTTCTTTTCTTTGTATCTGAAGGGCCTGACGGTGGCACAGGAGCCGATCAGTGGCTAGGATGATCGACGTCACCAGATAGGAAACTGTGGCGTATCACCCTGGAGCGCCAACCATACCCGATCGGGAGATTTGTTTTCGTCGCTGGGGCTGGCAAGCACTTTCCACTTGGTTTACTTTCCCTCACTCCCCGCTTCTCCATCACCACCAGCATCAATCGTCAGTTCAATTATTGACCTTGCGACAAATACTAAATTTAGTGGGAAGTTGCGAAGTTTGTCGGGTTATTAATACCTGCGAGTCTAAACCCACGTTTCTTGGGCGGACTTCGCATTCTCTTTCTCTTTTTCCGATTGCCTTCGAATCAGGTACCGTCAGGAACGCAGAGAAATCCATCCCGTTTCTATATCAACCCGGTTCCCCTTCCCAATTCTTTCCGTTCCCACGGGGCAATGCTGTTCCTCCCTTGAATTAGCATTCCATCTCATTTAACTTAACAGTTGATCACTCGGCCAGATTGCTGCTTCGGTGGAGAGGCAGGCATGCGGCCAATTGAAGCCGAGACTGCTCTATTTTCTTTCGGTTTTGCATTCTTCAGTACGAAGCGGTACTAGTGATGTCAAGCCACTCAGCCTCTCTCCGACGTACCCAGACGGATTTTCCAACACAAACATCGAGTCCACTTCGCCATGGCTCAACCGCATCCACAAATTCGTCTATATACTCAATATCAACCGATTCGCTAGCTCCCAGTCGCACAAGTACAGTGTCCTCCACGGGATCCATGGGCTCCACACCCAGCTTTGGACATAAACGTGGAAAGAGTGAAGCAAACACCATGAGTACCGACAGATTTAAGGCCGATCCGAGCCGTTGGTCAAACGCCGGGACAACATACGAAAGTGTCCGCCGCTCGCTACGGCCGCTCTCTCAAGCACCAAACGGTTCTACCCCCGCAGTTAAGCAAGTCGCCTACGGCCATTCGAGAAACCGGACGATAGACAATCCTCAGTTTTGGAAAGAGAACCGCCCTCAAACACCTGAGCGCCGCAATGATTATCATGGAGAAAAGGAATCGCTGAAGGAGATTGAATCGCATGATGTGTATGCACCTCCATCTCCCAGGTCGCCGCACGATTTCAGTCCTCTTGCTGTTTCGCCCCAAACACGGTCCCCAATCAAGACACAGCATTCTCATAGCTTGTCCACACCACAACCACCTCCATTAACCACCACACTGTCTACGCCGGAGCTAGAAACCTTTCAAAAGTCGTCGACTGGACATTTGCGCACATTATCCAAAATTGCACAATCGGGCGAGACGGAGGAGTTCGCCTTAGACAGCCCTTCCGTGGTGGGCCTGCTGGGACGACGGCGCTTGAAGCGTACTGATTCAGTGGCCGGCTCTGGTGGCGGGAATATTAATCGAAGGAAAAACGCATCATCATGGGCTGCCGGAAACTGGATGGACAAGCAGCGACAATTCTTACAGGCCTATGAATATTTATGTCATATCGGAGAAGCCAAAGAGTGGATTGAAGAAGTCATTCATAAGCAAATCCCGCCCATTGTTCAACTGGAAGAAGCCCTCCGAGATGGAGTAACGCTCGCAGAAGTGGTTCAAGCAATGTACCCGAACCGCACGCTACGAATTTTCAGACATCCCAAGCTGCAGTATCGTCATTCCGATAATATAGCACTATTCTTCCGACTCTTAGACGAAGTCGAACTCCCGGAGCTTTTCAGATTTGAGCTGATTGATCTATACGAAAAGAAGAATATCCCCAAGGTCATTCACTGTGTCCACGCACTATCATGGTTGTTGTTCAAAAAGGGCCTTGTTGACTTCCGGATGGGCAACCTCGTTGGACAATTGGAGTTCGAGCATCATGAGCTTGAACAGACGCAGAAGGGTCTCGATAAGGCAGGAGTCAGCATGCCTAGCTTTAGCGGCATGGCCGCGAATTTTGGGGCCGAGCCAGAACCTGAACCTGAGCCCGAGCCCGAATCTGAGGAAGATCGAATTGAGCGGGAGTTGCATGAAAATGAAGCTTCGATTGCCGACTTCCAAGCTCAGATTAAAGGCGCTATGCTGCGACTGAAGCTGGGAAATCTAATGAATGGCCTGTGGGATTTCGAGCCTCTACTTATCGATTTGCAGTCAAGGATAAGAGGAGATTGGACCCGCCAAATCGTTCAATATCGCCTGGATATGCGTGCGTTTGCCGTGAATCTTCAAGCAATTTGTCGAGGCTTTATTGTACGATCCCGCCAGGAATATGACATGGAAAGTTACCGGGCCCAGGAGCACGGTATACTACAGCTGCAGACACTGATAAGAGGCTCCAAAGCGAGGGCCCAGGTGCAATATCTTCAAGGCCAAATGCGAAAGGAAGAATCGGGGATCAAAGAGATACAAGCTGCCATAAGAGGAGCCTTGCAACGCAAGGCTGTTAGCGCTCTCTACTACGACACCAGAGATGCAGAGGATCATGTTCAGCTATTACAGGCTGCCATCCGCGGCGCCTTGCAACGCAAGTCTATTAGTGCTCTTTATTACGATATCAGAGGCGCAGAGGACCAAGTTCGGTTATTGCAGAGCACCATCCGGGGTGACCTACTGCGCAACAAGCTTTCAAAGCAATGCGAAGAGACAAAATCTGCTGAAGATGCCATCAGAGACCTCCAGTCTCTAATTCGAGGCTCTTTCTTACGACAGCAGATGAATGCACAATATGCTGATATGGACAGCGCTCAAGAAAATGTGGCATTGCTGCAGGCAGCGATTCGAGGCTCGCTGGCTCGGAAGTCTTTATCTCAAGTGAGAGACTCGCTTGCTCAAGAGGCCCCTTCAATTATAGCTGTTCAATCAGGGGCAAGAGCCTTGGCAGTGAGAAAGCAGCAGTCACGGCTTGCAGAAGCCCTCAGAAAAGCAGAAGATCAATTTATCGCGTTGCAAGCCATGGCTCGTGGCAACGCCGTAAGGGAACAGCTTGATTCTCTGCGTGAGGAGTTGAGGGAGCATGTACCATTGCTTATCAGTCTCCAAAGCATACTCCGAGGGAGAGCTACTCGGTCCTTCTTGGACTCCCAGCAGAAGGAACTGAGTGATGAGGAAGCGTCAATCCTTGAATTGCAGTCGAGGGCCAGGGGCTCCCTTGTGAGAAGACGCCTGGAAGCTGATGCTGAAGCACTGCAGGCAGAGGAACCTACGATTATCAACCTGCAGGCCCTCGCCCGAGCTGCAGTTCTGCGAATTGAGGTTGGTGGTATACTTGAGCAACTCGATGACTGCGAGGATGAAGTCAGCCAGCTACAGGCACACATAAGAGCGATGCTTGTTCGAGTAGAGGTCGGACAATCATTGGCCGATCTCGCTGCCGAAGAAGATGTCATTACAGATCTCCAGTCACACATACGGGGACACATGATACGATCAAAATTTGAGGAGAAGCGTCGATACTACCGAGAGAACATGGAAAAGGTCATCAAGGCCCAAAGCTTTGTGCGAGGTAGGATTCAAGGTCAGGCATACAAGAGTCTCACAACTGGGAAAAACCCACCCGTTGGAACAGTCAAAGGCTTTGTACATCTGCTAAACGATAGCGAATTCGATTTCGACGAAGAGATTGAATTCGAGCGGATGAGGAAGCTGGTAGTTCAGCAAGTTCGTCAGAATGAACTGGCAGAACAATATATCAGCCAGCTTGACATCAAGATTGCTCTCTTAGTGAAAAACAAAATTACATTAGATGAGGTCGTCAAGCACCAGAAGCACTTTGGCGGTCATGTTGGAAGTCTGTTACCGAACAGAGAAATCGCGTCAAAGGACCCCTTCGATCTGAAAGCCTTGAACAAAACATCGAGAAGGAAACTAGAGCAGTATCAAGTCTTTTTCTTCCTTCTGCAGACGCAGTCTCAGTACCTTGCCAAACTTTTCCGAAGGCTACGTGAGCTCAATACATCAGAAAAGGAATATGAGAGGATTCGACACTTGATGATGGGTCTCTTTGGGTATTCTCAAAAGAGGCGCGAGGAGTACTACTTGATCAAGCTGCTGGCTCGCTCTGCACGTGAAGAAATTGAAAGTTTTG